AAAACCTGTATCTAACCCAAGGGATAAACACAAGACTTGAAGGTGAGGCTAGATCAAATAAACTAAGAAAGATATGACATCCGTTTGGGTCTGCGAAACCGTTTGCCCCAAAACGACTACTTGCGACCTTGCTTGATGGTTTCACGTATAGCAAAAGGCTATACGTGGACACTTATGCATCGGACATAAGCATCGAAAATCGAACCAAGAAGCAAGGAAAGAAAAGAACAAAAATGAGGTGAGAGAGAGGAGACACTGATCCATCTAAAACGCCGAAAAAGGAGACTGGATCAGTTCTCAAAAAAAACTGAACAACAAGCAGGACTCACTAATTCCTTCAACTCAATCCATAACTCCATATATTAAATAAACACAGAGATCTTCCCATCTAATCACATGAATGCTCACAATCGGGCTCACTACAAAGAACTGAACAACAAGCAGGACTCACGGTTTAAGGCAGCAAAGGACAGCTGCAAAAGCCCACGACCAGAGGCCGTCCAAAGCACAAAAGGGGTCACGGCCAAAGCCAACAAGAGGACCACCAAAGACAACTATGCTTCCTTGACTAAATGAAGGGACAACTGAAATAAATATGATTTTCCTTTTGGATGGTAAACTTGACTCATCCACAACACTCAAGTCAATCCAAGCTTAGCCGGGAAAGCCAAATCACACCCAAAGACCTGCAATGGACCTCACGGGTAAGGAGTAGGAACAAAAGCCAGCAAAGGTAGAACGAGCCAACACAGCCCACATTAGAGCCAAAACGAGCCCTGCAAGAGCCAGAAACCAAACACAACTCCCCACTAGAGCCAAACCGAGCCCATCAAAGCCAAAACACAGCCCAAGCATTGGTACAAATTCAAGTTTTAATAGAAATTAAAATCAGCCCAGCAAAGCCAAACAAAACCAACACATCATCCCATCTAGAGCCAAGCCGAGCCCAGCAAAGGCCAAACCAAGCCCAATCAGGAACCAAACTTAATCAAGAAACATAGCCAAAGCCAAATCCGACCAAAAGCCAAGCTCAATCAAGAAACAGAGCCAAAGCCAAGCTCCCAACAGGAAACAGAATCAAAGCCGAGCTCGACAAAACCAAAACCAACATCAACCATTTTTAAATTCAGGTTTTTATACATGTACATATAAAAATGCAGCTCTAGCCATTTCAAACCAAAACCAAAGTCCCAAACCGAGCCAAAACCAAGCCCTCAGACCAAGCATTTTAGATAGATTTTCTCATAGCATATATTTCAAACCAAAGAGTGTCACAGGAAGCCAAAACCAAGCCTCCAAACCGAGGAATCACCTGCGTATCTAAATATTCCAGGCATGAGACAATTTCAACAGGTATTTGAACAGAGGTGATGCCGCATGGGGAGCTAAACCAAGCTCTCAAAACAAGATAAAAAGCTTTCCCAAACTAAATAAGTTCTCTTATAACATATATTTCAAGCCAGGGAAAGCCACAGGAAGCCAAAACCGAGCCCCCAACATGCATAAAACAGTAAAATACACTCCCCAGCCTTTATTTTAAATGAGAGCAAGCCATCATATGCCAAAGCCGAAACCCCAACATGCATGAAAGCCCCAATAAATTCTTCAATATCTCATGCTAAACGAAAGATAAGCAGAAAGTTTAACAATACACATCCCAACATGCTTGCAAGAGGAGTAGAAATTATTCCAAAAAAAAAACATGCTTCAATTATCCCAATCGCTACCAACATAAATATGATAGGATAAACAAAGAACATATCATATCTCCAATACTTTTAAGCAAATATTCAAATCTAAATCCTAAAATATGCTCACATTTCATCCTTCACATGCTCTTAAAGTGATGCCTCAAAATATATGAAAGTAAAGAGAGCTAACATGCTGAAATATCCAACAGAGCTATACTCAAGGCTCGACAAAGAGAAAATCGAAGAGCAACGAGGCACCACAGAAGGGGGGAAGAAGAGTACCTCAGGAATGCTAAAGCAAAGCAGCACAGGAAACCAACTCAAAGAAAATGCTCTCCCAGAATTTCCTTTCCAACCTCCTCTAGCTAAACTTTTCAACAACCCCAACAAAACAACAGGGAACTCTCCTTATAGGCAGGGAATAGAGAAGAAGAGAAAAGAAAGCCACCCCAATGTCCACGGCACTCGAATCGGGCCAAAAAAAAAG